AACCGATAATCGTCACCATCTCGAAATGAATCAAAGGTATGACCTCCGCGCTTGAAACCGATAATCGTCACCAGCTCAAAATGAATCGAAGGTATGACCTTTCCTTCATCTTCCAGTTCACCATTCTTGTCGCTTATTTACTGATTTCGCAATCTGTTTCCTTTTTTTTTTTTTTTAATAGGTCCGTTTAATTCGGTTGTGTCTGATCCCGAATCAAATCACTATAAGGTATTCCAAGGTAGATTCCCCCTTCTCTCCTCTTCTAAACGGAGACTGCCACGGCTAACACCCGCTATGTTTACAGAAGCGCACACTCCTTCGATCGGATCAACCTCGATACCGAGATCGTTCTTGTTTCCCGTCGAGTTCAAGATAAAACAAGGCTAGTGGTTTTCTTTTCTTTTTTTTTATTCAGTTTGATCGTTTTGAACTTCTTTACTGATTTGTGTCCTCCTTCTTTGTTCTTGTTCCTAGCGCTCTTAACCCATACTCGCCGTTTTTACCGAGGTCCTCGCAAACGTTTAAGACTGATCTTTCTTATTGATCTCTCTAATCAATTTAGTTTCTTGGTTTTGGATGGATTCAAATTGACTTCTGAGCCCGTTTACAGAACTAAGGTCCGCTTTGTTTACAATCCTTCTTTTCTTTCTTCAACCGATTTATCTTGCTGATTTCGTCGTCGACTCTTCTTTACTTCGCTCTTGCCTATCACCATCATTTCCAAATAGGTTTGGGATTTGATTTCTACCTCCTATCTCCTATTTAATTCCAGATTAATATCCACAAGTAAAGCACTTCAACCACAGTACTCTCTGTGTATCTTCCAAAATCCACTTCAAAACTTGGTAAGATTTTATTCTCTCTATTTTCAAATAATTTTTTTTGACTATGAAGTTAGATCTTGATTAAAAACTAATATCTTGTCTTCTTTATGTTTAATCTTGTTATTTTTTAAATAGTTCACCCATCTTTGTTGTCTTTGTATTGATGTTGAATGTACTGGATCTTGTAATTTCTTTCCTTCCTTCTGTAATTGAATCAATCTAGCTTCCAAAAATTTCTTGATTTCTTTTAGTGCCTCATAAGTTGATTCCCAAAACCATACCAAACTCTGTGTCAACAGGTAAAGTAGCTTGGTTGGTCTGTATGGTATTGTGTGTTTAGTCAAGACTCTATGGTGTGGTTTGCAGAATTCAGCCCAATTTCCAACGACGTGTTTCAAATACGGCCGCTGGAATCTTATCTTCATTATTTGATCTTTCTTCTTTGTTTTTTTACAAACAGGATTCTTGAACTGTTCTTTTGGATTTTTGTCGGATAGATTTGTTGTTGGCTGATAAAATTTGAAAATTTTGGGAAATTCTTCATGCTGATTCAGAACATCCTCCCCCAACTTAGCTGTTGTCCCCAACAACTGTACAGAGAAAGCTGCCAAAGTATTAAAGTCCTGAGCCTGGTCTAAGAATTGTTGAGTGACTACATGAGTCTGAAAAGTTGTTTCTCCTTTTTGATGTCGTGGTAGTAAAATTGGAATCAAATAAGTATTTCCCTTTTTATCCATGATAGCTAACGATTCTCCACCGTTATCCATGTATTTGATCGTAGCCGCAGCATCAATAAGAAAAGGTTTCCCTAAAATGAACTGTACCGCTCCTCTGGCTATCCAAAAATGAACGGGTCTCGTTATTTTTCCGATCACCACTTCGACTCCCTCGGCGATTCCAATGATTCCTGTCTGGTGTCCACCTATTCCTTTCAAGTTCATTGGTTTCTCGGTTATGACCAATCCTAAGTTTTGCGCCATATGCTCTGGCATCAAATTCACCATTGATCCAGTATCCAATAAAGCTTCGCTGTTGGTACCGTTAATACTAATTTTAATATAACCTAGAGGGCAGGAGTAATGCGTTACTGAGAGTTCGTCTTCTTCATTATTTTCCAGAGACGCATGATTAGAACTTTCGCCTTCTTCCACAGGTACTCGTCTGTTCGAAATCTTCTTTTTGAAAATATCCACGACTCCATTCGAGATCGCAAAAATTTCTCCATAACTTAAAGTCATTTTTCCTTCTGACAACATGCGCTTCGCTGTTTCTTCTTCAACTCCTGGATATTCTTTCGCCAAAGTTTTCTCCAGGTGAGTTTTCTTTGCCGGTTTTTCTCTTTCTTCTTTCTCGGATCTTTGTTCCTCGAATCTGACTTTAGCGGGTACAGTAGTAGTTTTAGAAGGTCCTTGAGCAGATTTTTGAGTCGTTGCCTTCTTGATCAAATCCTCGGCGTCAATGTCCATTACAGCATCCTTCTCAACTCTTCCCTTCTTCCCGCTACCAGATTTTTCTGGTTCTTTTTCCGACCGTGTTTGCTTTCCCAAGGCCACATCATACGCCGCGTATTCTTCCACTTCACATTCCTCCAGTTCTCCAAACGAGGAAGTGACCACAGCCGCAGTAGTTTTCTTGGAGTTACGATCAAATTTATCCACTTCATCTTTAATGGCTCGACGAGTATCCCATGCAATCTTGGTGTTGTCTGGCAGAAGATAGTCTCGTCCTTCACGCTTTACTAGTCCTCGAGATTCATCAAAGGCAAATAGACTACATCTATTGCTACTGTGAGTATCCTGGAAGCAGTAGTAACACTTGAAATCTGGCTTCTTGAAAGGTACGTTAGTGGGAGCAGCTGAGGGTGGAAGATTAGCGTCTAATGGCTGATGCGGAGGAGCCATCTTTCCTGCTGTTAAAGAGGCTAATTGTCTTGTGAGGTCTTGAATCTTTTTCTCGTAGGATTCTGGCTGTGGTGCTGGTGCTGGGGGTCTGGGAATAGGGTTTCTGATGGGCTTAGCTGGCTCTACGTGGGTTTGTTCCAGTCTTCCCAAAGATCTACGTTCCATCACTGAGGTTGACTGAACTTCTCTCTGAATATATTGAACGATGATCTTGGTAACCGGTAGAATATCGCCTCCATCCTTAGAAACACGCATCTTGTTATCACGGATAAGCTCCCGAGTGACAGCAGTTTCTAACGGTAGACTCAAAGCCTCCAACAACAATTCTCGAAAATCTTCTAAGTCAGAGTTGTATCCCATCCGAACCAAGTAGTGAGTGATCATTTCAAATTTTGACCGAAATATCTTGAATTCCTCCAAAGTTCGAATGCCTCCTTTCTTGGCAGCGGTGTTAACTAAATCCTTCAAGTCTTGCTTCGTATATTTCACCAGGGGCAGAGACTTTCCGAACCGATCCAACAATTGTTTCTTCAGCTCCTCCCACTCGACCGTCTCATATCCTTCCATCTCCTCAACCTCATCCTTCAAATCGCCTCCTCTTACGAACGAAATGATCTGCTTCGCCAAATCCGTAGCGCTAGCTCCATCTGCTTCTCCCGCACGTTCATACCGCTTAATAAACTTCTCTATCGGTATGTTCGTTCCATCGAAAAATAATTCCTTGTCTAAAGGCTTAATCTTGACTACCCTTCGACTATCAGTTGGTCCTGCGTATTTAGGAATTTCGGGTTCTTTTTCGAGGAAATGGGTGTTGGATTCAGCTACTGAGTGATGAGACCGAAGATGGTTATCTGGAGTAATAGGACTGGGTTGTGGCATGTCTAATCTGGTGTCCAAAGGATGTATAAGGGAGCTTCCAGAAGAGGCTACGGATGGTTCTCGATGCTGGGTAAAGGCAGCGTTACCAACATTGATGAGAGGGGTGTATTCAGACATGTTCTTCTAATCTGTTATAAGGGTTCTTAAGAATCTAAGGTGAGATTTGAGAAAGGCTCAGGTATTCTGAGTAAGACTAGCAAAGGGATTAGTATCTTTTAAAGACTAAATTTATCTGGGGAAATCTGCCACTGTTGGGACACCACTTGTGGAACTGCTCAGCAAGTGAGTAAAGAGCTTGGAGGGGATAAATAGCTAATAAGACTATGAAATAGTAGAGTTAGTATTGGTGTGTGGGTGAGACTGCCCTCCTGTCTAGCTTGCGGGAAAGTTACACTAAGAAAAATAAGAGTGTGGCTTATTTCTAAATTTATCTTAGTGTTGATACTACTGTTGTTGTTGCTTAAGAATACCTGTTGGGGAGGTAAGGAGTTTTTATGGGGTTTTCTGAGTAATAAGGGTTTCTGTGGGGTTTCTCTGTTAAATCTGTTATAACTCCTCTCTGGCTCTCTGATCTTATAAGTCTCTCTGGTTTCTCTGGGTTCTGATAAAAGGTACGCTGATTTCTCTAAATCTTTCAAAGAGGTGAGAATGGCTAAGCAATATTTCTGAATTACTTGTCTATGGCCAAAATTGAGGTAAGGGAAGTTCAGGGGCTCTAATAATCTCTGGATCTCTTAATCAAGGGTGATGAAAGCTGAGTAATATCTCTGATTACTGTTCTGTAGCTAGCATCTGGTTTTGATGAGTGCTAAGTAATATCTCTAATTACTTCTCTGGTGCAAACATGAGGAAGGAAGAGGAAAACCTGGGCCAGAAGAGCCTCTATTTATAGACAAATGGTTCTGCAGTAAATGAGATTTTGGCCTGAACACAAGTGCGTCTGAGAAAGGTACTTCTAGAGTGGATTTTACTACTCTGAGATGGGCTAATCTGATATGAATTAATCTCTAAGTGCCCTTCTAATACAAGAGGTTGTAATTCTTCTATAAGATGCCTATTCTTAGATTAATTACTATGATAAGGGTATTCTTAGACTAATTAGTATAAGAGTCATTTTCTAGAGCTAGTCTGTGAAGCACTTTCTGATCATTAGCTTGATTTACCAGTCTAAGATAGATGCAGTATCTTTCTATCTATTTCTACAGGCCATACATATAATTATTATGTGTAGGGAATTGAATATTTTGTGTCCAATTCATGTTATAATTTGTCTATGATTTAACCCAATAATATTGTTGAGATTTATTCTATAATTCAACCCCTTCTTCTCTAGTATTTAGTTAATATTTATGTTTAATAAAGTACTTTTATTTATGGACTATGAGTTTGATCAATCTCACCACACCGCATGGGTCGTTACATGTCGTTTGATCTTCACAGCCACCTTTGCTTCTTTCTCTAAATCGGCTGGGCTGATCATTTTGACTTCCAAGCTCGCATCGGTCCTGTCCTTCCCATTTGCAATGATGTTTGCCGTCCAGTGAATGAATGAATTGATTTTGTTAACTTTATAGTTGGTGTTCTTTTTAAACTCGTGGGCTGCTGGAAGATTCATCCAGACCTTCCAGTTGATTCCAGGAGAGCCGGACTCAAGCGCGTTTTGAATGATCACTCCGGCACCCTCAGAATTCTCTTTGCACTTTCTAGCAACGATTTCACGGAATTGCTCGAATGTCGTGGAAAGGGCTGGAATTGAAATTAAAAACTTCCCCTTTGATTTCCTAGGTATCCAAGTGAGCTTGTTGTTCAAGTTTTTGTCAGGGTAGACTAATTTGAAGCTCGTGCTTAAATCAATCGTCTGAGTCTGGATGCAAGAAAAAAACAATTAATTTGAATTCCTCATCTGAGCATAACAGAGGAAATTTCCGTTCTTACTGCTAGTTGATCGGGCGGTGGGCCAAGATTTTGAATCCTCCATAATTCCAAAGCAGAATGATAACCCGGCGGTGTGTTTTCCCGGCCAAGTAGGTCAATTCCGAAGCGCGACATGGGTAGTGAGGGAACTGTCTGATGCTCTGTTGAGATGGCTTGCAAGCAGTTTGGAGGCTGTTGACCACCACAACTGGTAACAAACAGCCTTGAATGTCTTCACCAAAGTGGAAATCATGATGCCGATCATGATTTCACAAGGCAAAAACCAAAAACAACAAAAACCGAGTGATCATGTAATATGTACCATGATTTGTGAACAGCAACGACAAAATCTGTCCAAGCTTTCTTCAAACAACAATAAATAGAACTTCTTTTCATTTTTATTAAATAAACTTGTATCTCTTTATTTACTATTATCAAGAATCCTATCGTTTTATGTGGTGCTTTCGAATCTCTGATAACACAGCATACCACAGCCATTGTACATACTACAAGGAGAACTCAGATGGACAGATCAGTTTACCAGCATGGAGGTATGTACAAATCCATCAAACAGTCACTCTTATAACTTTACATTCCAGTCTCTAACTCCTTAAAGATCTCTACTGTGCATAGAACTGAGATCTTCCCATATTTATTCTCTTTGACAGATTCAGTTGCTCGGAAGTTTAAAGATCTACAGAGGAAATACCTTTCAAGAGCGGCTAGGCTTCCTAACCCAACGTATCTCAAAGACGATCTTGCAGCTCTCTTGATTCAAAGACTTATAACGCAGGAAACTGTTGCAGATCATCTGCTGTCAAGCCTTCTGCCTCTCTTACAAGGCCAAATCAACTCTCTCTCACTAGCCCTTGACCCCGCCAGTTTACGAAACCAACCCATCCTAAATCTCAGCCTTGTTTCAAATATCCAACCAGAAATCGATAAAAATTTAAAACGAATCAAAGCTCTCCTCGCCGTCCTATGTCCAGAACATCCTACTCTACCAAATTGAACGGATGACAATGGTCTTCAACGATTCAAGTTCTGTAGACTCTACCGTCTGAAAATTTGCTACAAAGTAACGCTGTCTTGTGAGATGTGCGGGATATTCCAGGCGGCCGATGAGCTTATCCAACAGGTGGTATTTACATCAGAGCCACCCATCCACGATTATTTGCCAGACATCGAGTCCATCAAAAATCGTTTGCATGGCTCTGTTTCTTGTGCGTCGGATACAATCAAGATGATGGCAGACTGCTTCCAAGCATCTGAGTTGGTCATTGCCCAACAATTATGGACAAGTAAAAGACTTGAAGTCGAGAATCAATTCCGATGCATCATCAAGAACCTCAATCGATCGACCAATTTGGATGGAAACTATCTGCGTCAATCAGTCATTTGACTAGCTAAATCGAGTCTCCCAATCTTCAAACTCTGCAAGATTTTCTTCGCCAAGTTATCAGAACGCGGGTTAGCTCACGAGTGACTTCCGGTTCACACGGAGATCAGCTCTGAGCAAGTCGAAATTCTGGCCCAATCTTCTAAGCTTGTCGCTAAAGATCTCCAAGAACTTAAATATTATCTTGGGCTTGCTAATCAACAAGACGGACAAGCCACCAGTGACGGTTTCCTCAGAATAGTTCAATCCCTTAGAAATAGCTTTGAGGCCCCTTTGTCTGCTGTACTTACCCACTTTATCCCTTTGATTCCCAATACTCATGGTCTTGATCATCAAAAATATTACCAGAATTGGTGTGTTACTTGGCATAATCTGATGGCTTTGGCTGTACATAACTTCTCACTTGTTGCTAAAACATATACAAACAATATACCTTGATACTTTGGTGTTTCTTCTTTTACTTCTTCTTGATCTGGGTTTCCTCTTAAGTTCCCTGCTGTATTTTAACTCTGAGCATTGCAGCCATTGACTGGGGAGTAGAACCAGTTGATTTATCCAAATGTGAATAGGTGAAGGTAGCCTAATTGGTGTATGCTCATCTCAAGAAGAAGGCAGTAAAATATGTCAGATAATTCATCCCTGTGATCACAAAAGCAATATCCAATGTGTTAAATCAGGCCCCTGTTAGCACTGCACCAAGCCTGTCAGCTGACTCAAAACAGGGATTTGGTCAGGTTCTGCAGGGGTTGGATCTGGGCACACAGCTTGCAAGCCTCTGGTTAAAATACCCAACAAGTGCATATAGCTCATTAACATATGCAAACTGCAACTTTTTTTTCTTTTTCTTCACTTTTGGATGATTGAAATCTGTAATAAGAGGGATTTGTAACCTTCCAGAGGATTTAATAATGAACTAATCTTGAGGAGTGGCCCAATTGGCCAATGCTTTGTTGCAACCCTGGGCCAACTGCTTGGTGACACCCCCATGACATGTTTCCTCAGCACACGCCATGAATACAAGGGTGTACATATCACAGCTTCGCCAGGGATGGGCCTTGGGATTGGACTCGGGGGCGTCCAACTCGCCCCCGGGGCTTTGTATTGTAATCTGTAGTCCAACCCACCCTTTGTGCCACCAACACCAGCCTTTGGTTGATACCAAACCAACTCAAATATCCAAAAACATCATGACCCAAGAACGAGGTAAGTCTGTTTGTTTGATTAGACCTGACTTCTTTGAACGCCCATCAGCTGACCATCAGTCAACACACTCCAGATCCAGTCCTTGTCGGCTTTGGCCATCTGATGACCAAATACCAGCCGGTGTTCTTTGTGTGATGGAGGGATTTGGAAGATTCCTCTGAAGAAGCTTCCTCAGAGCATATCCACCGCGGGAGGTAAACCGGGTTCCTATCCCGCGTTTAGCAACCCGAGCCCAAAAATCACCACCCACCCGGGGTGCCAAACAAGAAAAAAAAATAACCTCCGGAGGTTAAACACCTTGTTAAGTTGCCACATGTAGCAACACTTGAGCAACGCTATAGCACCTGTGAAATTCCACATCTCCATGAAAGGTCTGGTGTTTCTTGCGTGAACTCCTATGTATATTTCACCTTCATTCCACATCGTCCCCCCGAATTGCCTACACCATATCCCACTGCCCACCAATCTTGTTCAACTCATCCCCCAAAATTCCAGCTTCATACGGAATCATCTCCACACTTCAATACAAAGACCACCTCAACCAAGAGCTCATGTCTGGAATAATTGACCCATCACTTAGTAAGATTCTTTTTTTCATCTTTCTTCTTTTATTTTTCTACAAAATCTCTGATACAACCGATGTTGCTTCATCTTTCATTCAGCTGCTATCAATGTTGAGGCTATTCACATGAATAAACCTCGCCGTGTGCTTGAGGCCGAATCAGACCAGGAAAACCCACCAGCAAAGAAAAAGAAAGCAACGACAAAGAAATCCACGCTGGAGGCCGATTCGGACCAGGAAAACCCATTGGCAAAGAAAAAGAAGGCAACCGCAAAAAAATCTGGCACCACAAAGAGCAATGAAGTCAGAGCTCCTAAAAACCAGAAGAAACCCATGAAAAAGAAACCCAACAAGAAGGCCGCGAATACTGCTCCCTTGTCAGATAAAACTGAGAACACCAATCCCCAAGTCGATACAACTGATTCGGCGAAAACTCGCACTCGCTACCAAGAACACGAGGACATTCAGATCTGCAAGTCCTGGCTCGAGATTTCCCAAGATCCTCTCAACTCAACCAACCAGACGGCCGATACTTTCTGGAACCGTGTCGCTGAGAACTTTGCAAAGTTTTTGCCTGATGAGAGCCAGAGTGGAGTCAGCATCAAGAGTCGATGGCAAGTTCTCCAGCGAAGGATTAACAAGTTTTCTGGATGCGTGAAGCAAGTGGAACTCTCAATTCAGAGTGGAACAACGGTTGAGGATCGCTTGTCTAGTGCACTCAAGCTCTACAAGGCTCTCTCGGAGAGACCTTTTCTCACCTACGCTGTTATAATCTTCTCAACCTGCTCC